GATATTATAAAACTAGCTAACCTTTTCATCCGGATTTATTCTTGTTGAACTCTTCTCTGTTGGTGATGCTACGGAGTGGAAATATTCCTCTCTGAAAATTGAAAAAGTAAATAGATAAAAGAACATATGCTGATTACCTGCTCTTGCATAATTTCTGTACGTCTTTCAATGATTTTTTGCTTCCTTTCAATCAAAGTTTGCACCTCGCGTAGGTCTTGATTAATTTTCACCAGTTTCGCCAACTGACAACGCAAGAGCTTTTCACTCCAATATTGCAAAATATGATTGGTTCTCCTGTAGGTTTCCACAGCAACGCGATTTTGCATAATAGCAGTTTGAAGACGTTCTTGCTCCACCTCCAGTGCAATTTCTTTGCCTTCCCAGGATTTTGTTCAGACAGTATAAGAACCCAGATAAATTAGCTCAAACTTGTCAGTGATGACCTTCGTTTTATGGTCTCTATTTTTGAAAAGTTTCCTATATAAGGATCTTACCAACCAGCTCGGCCCGCAATCTTGAAGAAGAAACCCCACCAGAGCAATCTTGCCATTTTCTATGTCATCCGAATCTTACTGTATGTGCTCCGATGTGTTTCCCTTTTTTTTTTGAAAACGAAATTCTTCATACATGTACAACTCGATATACTCGATAAATGAGCTGCCATTAATTTACTTTTCTATGCCTCAAAACTCATGTGGACTTCGAGTCACCTCTTCATCTCCTTTCTCTATACTCTCTTCTTTTCCTACACTCTTTATTCCTTCTTTCCCTCGTCCCACATCTCCATTGCAGGCCGGTGGAGAGAGGAGGGCGCCTTCGCTCCTCCGCTTCTTCGCTAGTTTTTGTGTCCTCGTTCGTTTTTTTCTCCTTCTCTTTTCTTCCTATTTCTATTATTGCTGTTTTTGGTTGTTTCCTTTTCAATTGTTTTATTTTTATTTGTTTTGAAAAATAACATAATTTTTCAAATTATATTTGCAGAATTTTCAGCTAAAAATTATTTGGCTCAGGAAATGAACTTTGGTGGAGCTCCACCACCACTGGATGATCAATATTGTGCAAGTGTGAGTTTTTTTTTCTATTCATAAATTGCAGTTAAAACATTCATAATTAAAATCTAAAAATTTCAGATTCTAACCGAAGCTGTTTGGAAGCAGATTGAGAAGAAAGAAATAGACTACAGAAAAGATCTTAGTGGATGGCGTCACAAGTTTGAAGCTGAGAAGGATATCGTCGAAGAATTCGCAGTGCGTACTGAGCCCAGACTACGTCAATGGTGTGAGAATACAGACTTCACCATCCGATTACTACGATCCTGCAATGAGCTGGCTCTTGCTCAATTCTATCAGGATCAACTGAACGAACAAGCAGTCTACATGCAGAAAGTGGATCATAGGAGAGATATTCTTGTAGCTTACATTCACCAATTCACTCAGTGGATTTTAGAAGAAGAGAGTGAGAAAAAGAAAAATAAGAAGAAAAAGGAGAAAATAGAGGGTGGAGAGGATGAAAAGGAGAAATTAACAGAAATAGAGAAGGAGAAGGTGAGAAACATGTGACTGGGAATTCGAAAACTTTTTTTTCATTTTCAGGAAAGCGACAAAACCACATCTACTATCGAATTGAAGTTGTAACTGTTTTCTGTGATAGTCCATTTCATATCTATATTTTTCTAATAATTACTGTGATTTCTACTTATACATTTTAGTGCAATTTCTAGACTGATGATACTCTATTTCTATGTACTTCCATTATTTTTCAATTGTAGCCCATTTTTCAATTTTCGTAGAACATGACATTCTCAAGTTTTATAGAAACGTTAATAAATTGTGTTTTAACCGGTAAATTACAATAATTTCCACTCCCACACCGTGAGAAACAGGTTCCTAACATAACCAGGACCACAGGGATCACCAAAAAAGTTCTGTCAACATTGGCCTCACTGCAGAATTGCAGGGTTACTGTATCAGTTGAATGCATACTTAATTTTTTCCAGTTCATGATAATGGGCTGTAAAGCCGAAAGTTTAAAAAAAAATCAATTTTGAAACACGATTTTCAGGTGCTTGAAAAAGTGGTCCAAATTTTTCAGGCAATTCTGAAAGTTTCAAAGTACAAACAAGCATCAAACAGAAGCAGAGCTTTATTTTTCTAGTAAAAAATTTTACTATCTAGCGTAGTTTTTGAGATATCCGCTAGGCGCGGCTGTGCCTAGTGGAATCAGATGCAGGGCCTTCGGCCTTGGCTCAGTGGAATCAGTTGATCCAGGGTTCAGTCTGTTCTCCTTTCACTCGCTCAGGTCGAACAGACCGGACAGGGCCTTCGCTCAGGTCGAACAGACCGGACAGGGCCTTCGCTCAGGTCGAACAGGCCTTCGCTCAGGTCGCTCGCTCAGGTCGAACAGACCGGACAGGGATTCATTAGAGGCAAAATTTTTGAGTGATTTTTCACGATAATTTACTTTTGACAAAAATTTTAGCCAATTTTTCCAAAGTTTTTTGTGGTTTATGACCTATATCTCAAGAACCAGCGTACTTGGAAAAAATCTAAAGACAAACAATGAAATTAGGGACCTTCTTTTTTTTTATGGAAAAACCGGATTTTTTATTTAGGCCCTAGTTCGGCAGAAAAAAAAAAAGGAAAACGTGGAAAAAGAACCGGATCCACTCGCACGTTTTTAAGCATATCTTGGTTCAGCCGGTTCAACTTCCGACGATTTTTGGCAACCGGATAGCCACAGAGATTTTCTATCGATAGAAAAAAAATCAGCGAAAACGGACCGGAACTGACCTAGTTAGGATTATTTTGAAAAAATGTTTTTTTTAATGTCGAAAATGGGGGTACGTGGGGTATTTAAAGGAAGAAGGTGGCGGAAGATAAGGTGTACTTCCCCTCCTCGATGGCTTCTCCCGAAGCTGTGAACGCGCGCACAATCATTGAAGGAACATGACTCAAAAACTAGGTATTTAGAAAGACGGGTTTTTTATTTAAGACCAGCAAGCTGGTGCGCCTTCGGCGCGATTCAATCTACTTTTTTCAAATGTTCGTCGCTTCGTTTCTCACTTTTTCTAGATAAAAGGGTCATGTAAATATATTTTTCAATTTTTCAAAAGTCCACAGACGGACACGAAGACGGACAGACGCCTCTAGCGTTTTATTAATAAGGAAGATAATCGTTTTCTAGCTCAACAAAATCTATTAGAAAGAAGATAACTCAGCTTTCACGTTTTTTTACATGCTAGAATTAACAATCGAATTTCCAAGATTCTTGAGGCATTGAGGATTTATTTTGATTAGTTTTCTCAATCGATTTGAGCAATGGGACATCGGAAAAAGAGAAAGCAATCGAGAGACGATCATGAGGTCTGTAGTTTCTTTTCTAGAATCGAAAATAATTCCCTTTTCTCAGGAAGCCAGCGGCGATGGCGAAGGCAAAGGTGCTCATCAAAGACCAAATTGTTGTGATACGCTCATGTTGGCTCTCGTCTGTTTCTTCATTGTCATCGTGATTGCTGTTTCGATTCCAATGATTCTCACTGCTACCGGAAACATGGATATTCCGTTCATCAAGGAAAAATTGACTGTAGTTGGAAATACGACGAGCAAATAGGAAAAATGAGAACTTGATTGTTTTTTTTTGTGATTAGTAGTGAAAACTACTGAACTACTGAATAAAACATGTACTAGTGATCTGGATTTTGAGTTTTTTTTTGAGAATATTGGTGAATCTGGTTTCGTGATATTTCACGGTGCGCAAAGACACGTGGATTAGGGCGTTCTTTTTTTTTGGACGGACGTTTTTATTGAGAAAAAGGAAACTGTAAAAAAGGAACAGACTAGAGAGAGGAACGGGGAGAAGGGAAAGGAGAAGGATAGAGAATTGAAGAAGACAAAATTCAGAGGACCGAATTTTGGGGGATGTGGAGTTTTTCTTTTATTTTTTTTTTCAAAATTTAGGTTTCCAAAATGAATGTTATTAATTTTTTTTGTTTCTTGGAGAGTAAACTTTTTTCTTCAAAAATTGTGTATATGTGTTGTAATCAACAGGGGGTTTGGGAAGAGCGAGGAGAAAAAAAATTATGACTCAAAAATATACAGAATACTTTTTTCAGTTAGAAACTGGATACCAGATGGTACGGGTTTAGATCAAAGAGTCATGTGGAAGGGTGGGAGAGATCGGTGAAAACAGACAGGGAGAGAGTGGAATGGCTAGGTAAAGGAGGAACATGTCAGAGATGGATGATCATAACTTAAAGGGGGAATGAACACGAGTTAGACACGATACGAGCGAGCATTTGTCGAAATGGCGTCTTCATCGTCCCACTCGAGACCTCCAACGACGCGTTGATTGGCATCCATATGCGGAAGAACTTCGGTTTGGTCCTCCTCATCCTCGGAAACGTCCTCGTCCTCCTCGCGGTATGAGCACTCGCTGAAAATTGATTGGTTTTTAAGACATTCTAGAATTTTCCAGAAAACGTGATTTATAATGTGTTTTCCTATTCCAGACGTTGGTTTTTCAGACCAACTTCTCTGGGTCAGCCATTTATACTTCCGGTTAAAAAATCAAAAAGGGATAAGGTGTTTGAACAGACAAATAACTCAGAAGGTACAACCATTCGGGGGTACATGGCGGTACAAAGTTATTTAGAGTTACAAAAACCAGAATTCGGGGGTAAAAAATTTAAAAAAATTCAGGTATTTGTATCTTCTGTATTAAGGATTTTGTACCCCTTAATTGCTTCGTACCCCAAAGACCCAAAAATTTTTGTACCCTCTGAATTATTTGCCGTTTGAACAGGATATGACCAGGACACGGCTGTTACTAAAACCTCAAAAATAAATAATAATTTCTTTTCTTTTGGATACAAAGACAACAAAACGACTGAAAAATAATTATTTACCTCTCTCCATCGGTTTCTTCTTCCTCTTCCTCATCACTGAACTCATCAATAGCTCCGCCGTTCTTCTCAACGTCGTCCAATGGATTGACAGTGATGTTCATGCCACTATCATCCCAATGCATTCCTCCGTCGCTCTGAAATACACGAAATCCAGTTTAGATTTGATTTCCTTCTTGTCGTCGCAAGCAGTCAAAGTGCATTCGTTTATATTTCTGCCTTGGCTAGAATGCCACCCGACTCGATTAGCGATTAGGGAATGGTCTTGCTGACCAAACTGATCAAAAAGTCTATAGCTGCTAGTTTTCCCTCCTTTGGAATGACTAATCAGTTATTTTCTCAGAACGAAAGTGTGATTTCTGGTTGGTTACAGATGCAAATTTATGATGATCTCTGAATCTGATTCTCACCTGTCTCTTCTGTCTTCGTCGTCGTGGCATCGGTGTATCGCGCATTTTGAGCACACCGATGACGAGGAGCACCAGAAGGAAACCGACACAAACAACGACGACGACGGCGACGGCGCCACCTGAAGGAATTCAAAATTATTAATGAGCCACATCATCTATTGATAAAGTCTTACCAGCGATCGCTCCTTGTCCGACATCGTATCCGTGGTGGGAGAGCAGCGCCTTTGGACGTGGAAGATCCATTTCCAGAATGTTCTGAAAAATAGCAAATTGATAAGAAATAGAATATTGAATAAACCAGAATCCATAAATCAAATTATCACACCTTGATTTTAGCCTCATCTAGTGAATACATAGAATGCCAAAAGGCCATTTCTAGAAGACGTGCAGTAGGAAGAAAAAAGTGGACGAAAGAGGAATTGAAGCGAAATAGGAGAAGAGGTGGAGGAGAATGGTTTGATTAAATCAGATTCGGATGGACGACCGACTGAGGAGATGCTCCTTTCGTTGTAGCCGAGAGTGTGAGAAGAAAAAACGAGAAGATGTTTTTGTTGTTAGTTTTTTTCTTCTTCTCGCCTTCTTCAGCTTCACTAACACCGTCGTTACGAAAATCAGAATATCAAAAAGTGGTGGTGTCTCGTTGGCCACCACCCCAGTCTTCAAATAAACATCTGCCCCGAGTGAACGATGAGACAGGACTCGGTTACTGAGAATGATAGATTCGTCGTGACAAAGTTTCAGAAACCCTGCCCGAGGGGCCATTTTAAGATGTGTAGACACACACTTCAGACGAAAAAAAGGAGCGAGAAAAACAGGAAACCGCGCAAACTAATTTCCTGGCGTCCGAAATATAAAAAAAACGAGGTGTTGATGGATGGAACGTTTAAATTTTTATTCAACGATCGCTTTTCTCAGATGAACTAAAAACAGAAATAGGCTGGAAAGGTACTGCTGCTGCTGTGCTCCGACGGCAGAAATCTGATGCGTAAGGGAAGGGCGCCATGGCGAAACGAGAATGAGCTGGCCCAATTTGTGCGATAAGATCATATTTCAGAGAGAAGGAGCCACGCAGTCTTTTCTTCTGAATAAGGGAAAGAAGAAATAATGAAAACTAAACTTGTGTGTGGTCAGTCCAGTCAGCTGGTCTCGGGGAAGAGGAATATGACATACATTTACAATTATTTTCTTCCTTTTCTGTGACTCTTCTTGACGAATTTTTTGGTTTTGAATGAATAGTGGAGTACTCTGGGAGTATGTTTCCTGTTAAGTTACAGTAACCGAAGAGGAGTAATTTCTGAACTACTGGTCCCAGAGAGAACAGTTTTCAAGTGGGCACACTTGAGAACACTTACCACGAACATTCTGGAATATAAGTATTGGCTTCAGAATTCTGCTCTGAAAGAGGGTATTCTGAAGAAAGGTGGATGGTGACGAGTAGAGAGGCTTCTTTCTGGAAGCAGCTTGTCGCTCCAGGGATGGAAGGCACAGGAAGAAGAGGAGAAAGTGGCGCTGCTTTCTTTTTCTCGCGCCCTTCCTTTTCCTTCTTCTTCTTCTTCTTTTGCCCCTTGCGCCCTCTTCCTCCAGTTTTATAGATTTGGTGCCAGAGACTCTTTCTGTGTATATGGAAGACTCTTTGCCCGTTTCTCGTCTTTTTTGGAGTTGAAAGAGTTCGAGAGGTGTCTCTGCGTCTTCGTGTGTATTCAGAAGAACACAGATTCCTCCAGAAGAAAAAGAAAGAAGAAGAAGGAGAATGCGTGTTTTTCATATTGTTGGAGCTCTAGAAAAACACCTCGACGAGAGAGTTTGTCACATTGGAGAGTGAATAGAAAGGGAATGTACTTGTAGGGAGAGGACTACGAAAGGTTAATGAAGACATCGATCAGAAATTCTGATGGATCTGGAGACCAGTGACTTTGGAAGACTGGTGACGCAAATGAAAAAAACCATCAGAAGCTTGGTTGTCTTTTGGTTTAATATGGAATTCTAGCAAAATTACTACAATTTCAGATACGAATCATTGGCACAAACGCTGCTTTTGCAAATAATTCCTTTATATCAATCCACCCCCGATACACCATCTGAATTCAAAAGAATATTCAATCTCCCTGGAGAGTTGCAACTTGTCAAAAGAGTTTTAGTTTCGAACTTCTTCACTAAACTTGACCCTTTTCCATCTGCTCTTTTTATTTATTCGAAATGAGCAATAAAAAAAAGAGATGGAAATTGAGCACATGAGAAGAAGCTCAAAACTTTGAACCACGTGATTCTGGATGACGATATGAAAAAGAAGAAAAATAAAACTGAGAGTGAGAGCACGCCAGGTGTAGTGAGAGAAGCTTTGAAAAAAATTAAAAAGTTGTCAAGAGGAGCAGATGCCAAAGGATGACGTCAGGTGAGCAAAACAGATTCTCAGAGTAGATAAAGTGCGAAATTAGAAAAAAAAAACAATTTTAAAATGGAGAAATTAAATGGAGCCGGGCTCAATGAACCGAAGAAATGTTGTTTTTTTCTAGAGATACGATAGGAAGAAGAAAAAGAAGAAAAAATCGCCTGGGGGTTCTATTTCGAAGGAATCGAAAACGAGTGAAAAAAATAGAAGACTGAAGAAGTCGCATTTATAATTCATAGTAGAAAGATGGACATCTCCTCTCGAGCAGCCGTCATCACTTTTTATCGAGTTGATGGAAAAATTCCATGGAATTTCATTTCGGCAAAAGAAGGAGAAAAAGGAGAAGACGTGGATTAATGGAAAGGTTGAAATCCGGAATTGAAAAAGTAAAAAAAAAATTTTTCGTATAATAAACGAAGGGTATGATTAAAATTTTCAAAAACGGAGCCATTTCATTTCCCGTATCTCCTATAATAAAAGCCCACCAAAACCGTCAACTTTGAGCTCAGTTATCTCGATTCATGTAAAGGATATTAAAAATTTGTCAACTGATAAAATATTGGTGATTTTATGATAGATAATATTTTAGTTGACCAATTTTTGATACCTTTGACAGGAATCGAGATAATTGAGCTCAAAGTTGACCGTTTGGATTGGCTTCCATTAGAGAAAATGCGGTAGTTTTTTTCTGAAAATCCGAAGCCGAAGAAAGTTGTAGATCCTACTGAAGAAGAGGAATCAAACAAAAGAAATATCCCTGTGATTCAAGGCTCTCGCTTTTATGAAAATGTGTTTTCAGTATCTTTCTTCTTAAGACATCAGCATTTTCTTATTCTTAAAAATACTCCAGAATGCATAGGAGTATTAGCAAAAAAAGAAAGAAGAAAATAATTAACGATCCTGGCCCACATGAATTAGACCAGCTGGAAAAGCGAGAAAATTAAAAAGTCCGAGAACTCTTCGAGAAGTCTTCTTCCGAAGACGTGAGCTTCTCATTTTGACTGGTTTTTGCCTCAGGCACATCCGAATGAAAGAGAAGAGCTCCTCACACGATGACAGATGGTTTGAGAAGAGACGCGGCGTCGTTGTGCCGGGGGTTTTAATTGAATTTCTGTGTTTCTACTGCTTTCATCTGACGGGCAACGTCGACTTTGTGCGTATGCTCTCTTTTGCCTCACTTCACATGTTTTTGAGAGATAGGAAATAACCTCACCGCGATATTTGGGAGCGGAAAAACGAGGAAGTTGTTCGTGGAACAATTATTCAAAAATTCAAAGGAAACAAAAGCGGAGAAGTCAGGAATAACATGTGAAAAGGGAGCTGAAAAGAAACGACCAATAGAAAGGATAACTGCACTGGTGACAGGCAAAAAAAAAGAGGGAAACGAATGAGCAGGCAATATGAAAAATGACAAAAAGGGAAGCCGAGAGCTCATTGGCTCTCTTTTCATTTTTTTTTCTCCTTTTTTGCTCATAACTTTCTATTCATTTCCTCTCTCTCTCCCACTATATTGTTCTCAATGGATTCTGGATTCAGACATCACTCTTTAAACTAACCTGAAGTCTTGAGCTTCCAAGTTGATCAAAAGCCGGCTCAAAGTGACGCTCGATAAGCTCCAAGCTGTCAAGAGCAGTTTCTCCAGAATTGAAATTGAACTGAATCGGATCAACTGCTTGAATTGGAGCTTCCGTGGTGGTGGTTGTTGTAGTGGTAACTTCCTCGATGGTCATCTGGAAAATTCAAATATCTCAATCAAAACAAGTACCATAGTCTTTTCGCTTCCTCTCTTCTTCCTGTGCTCATATTTGATGTAAACACGAGAATAAAAAAAGAGGAAGCGTATGAGTGGGTGTGTATGAGTAGGGGAGGAATCATAATTATGCCAATTAACGATGCGAGGATATTCTATTTTCTATCAATCTGAAATTCGTGCGCCGCTCTTTGAATCTGAGACGAGCGAATCTAGATGACGATGAAAGAAGAAAAAGATGGATATGAAAAATTAATGAGATGTGTTGAATCTGAAGAAAGGAGAAAAAAGCGTTGAAAGACAAGTGCAAGAGGATGAATCAGTGGAGAGTAAAATGATTGGATTCTAAGAAATCCTAGGTGTGGGAAAAAAGAATAAGTCCAATCTCGGATAATTCTAAAGAATCTTAAGATAGATTTTGTATGGGAAAGTGGCTAAGAAAATTAAATTTTCTTTTTGATGCTTGTATAGACGTTGAGGACTGAAATTTATTTGGCAACGAGGCTGTGCAAAATCACGGCCGCGGCTGGCTGTGACTTAGACCGTGGGTGTGTTGCCGTGACCTAATCAGTCCATAAAAAACGCTCAGCGGCCCAGAAACCACTAAGGCCGCTAGCTCCTATCTATCACTAAAAGGCCGTGGCTGGCCGTGGCACAGATATTGCAATTAATTTCAAAAAATGAGCATCTGAATCTAATAGAAATCCAAACAACTTGGACCAAAACTATTCGAATACAGCTCAAACTACAGAAAAATCCAACAATTGAACTTCTAAAGTCTTTCGACTAGTCTGACAGAAGAAGTTGCGAGAAGAAACAAGTCTTCTCCTTCTTCTTCTCTCAACATGTCGAATGTATCATCGCACTCCTGGGACTGAGAAAAGTAGAGCAATTATGGTTGTGTGAGATGTATGTGAGAGAGAGAGAGAGCAAGCAATGCCACACTCTTTCTCTCTATGAAAAATGCGCGAGTTCCGGTAAGGTCTTGTGATTTTATCCATAAGATGATTTTATCAATAAGAAAAATATGAAAGGATTATCCAGATCTCTTGGCAAAAGATTAGAGCTAATTTCTTATCAGTTTTCCAGAAGATTATGTCATAGTGCCAGGCACCAACGATTCCTAGAGTAGTGATATTTAGAAGACGTCCTGATTCTAGTAAAAACTGAGTATATTGATTCGGGTTTCAGTGAAAAGACGTATCGAGTGCGGTTTTGGGAGCTCAAATGAGGGCGATTCTGAATAGAAGATGTCTTCTCCTCTCACACCCGAAAACCCATTTCGAGGCGATGAAAACAGACGAGCCTAGTCATTATAGTCGCTGCTCAGAAGAGCAACGACATAAATGGATTTCAGAGGAGAAGAGTCTCGAGAAGGAGGGAGAAAAAAGAAGAAGAAGAATGGATGAATGAATGAGTAATGACTGTGGAATGTGAAAGATTGATGATTCCTTGAGTTATTTAGACGTGCGAGGTGCAGTTTGTAGCCTTTAACTAACAGAGCAGAAACCGATCTTTCGCACTCTCACAAAACTTTTTCTCATAGTCAGTATCACATGACTTTAACTAACCGTGACAAACAGCTGATTGCTGAGAACTCGTCCCTTGAGCATGGCACACTGGACAGTGTACGTTCTCTTGGCGTACGATTCTGGTCGAGTGTTGAAGTAGTGAACCTTTGAGAGAACTTCCTTGTATCCTTGAGCACTTTCCTCACCGCGGAGAAGAATTCCCTGGAAAATATAAAATATTTTTCTGAAGTTTCAGACTTCTTACTTACATCTTTGTCATGCTCGAACTCGATGTTCAAGGCGGCGATGAGTGAGGCTGGAGACGAGAAATACTCGACATCCATGTCACGAGCAGGTTGAAGGTGCATCTTACAGTAGTCGATCTTGTGGGATTGAGTTACGTCTTCCAACTCTCCATCAATATTGTTCTGGCTGATGGTGATTGTGAGATCTGGAACCATGGCTTGTCCGACCTTCACCATGTGTTGGGTGCTCTTCAATTGGGATGAAGCTGAGATCGAAAGAGTTGGTTCGGCGGCTTGTTGAACGAAAACGTATCCTTTGGTTTGTGGAAGCTTGACCTTCTTGTCATCCTGCTTGCATGTGACTTCAGTCTCAACGTGAAAGGCACGATGTCCTGGAGTTGGCTTCTCTTGGGTGTTCACATAAGCAATTCTCTTGAGCATCTGTCCCATTTGCTTTGAAGTCTCAGCCTTCAAGGTGAGAGTTGTCAAATCTGGAGAGAACGTGGCACTCTGTCCATCAAGAAGTTCATCAACTCCTGTGAATTGAAGTTGTTCTGGACAGGTGTGAGCACACTTGATGGCTCTCTCGCTCTCAACAGCTCCGGAGAGAAGATAGATGGCTGAAAGTTGTCCGCGGAAGAATTGAGCGAGTTTCTGTTGACGTCCGTGCCAGCATGCTCCGACGACAAGCTTCGTCTTGGATGCCTTGGTCTTGTGGAGCGGCCAGTCGTCAAGGATCTCAGGATTACGCTCGTCGGCCTTGAAGCTCTTTCCATCAACAATAACATTAACATCATCAATTCCATTGAAAAGAAGAGAGTACGAATGCCACTCGTTATCGCACACCTCTGGCATTGACCAACGCCATTCAGCAGCACGGAAATCAGCAGTGGCTCCTGATTCACGACGAAGAACAACCTCCAATTTGCAGTGACGTATGTAGACAGAGAAATGGTGGCGATTCATGTCTGAAATTAGAAGATGATTGGTATTTGTTCTGTCTGAAAGTGGTTAACTCACTGAAATCATCACTTTCACAGAGAATGTTCTGCTTATTGCTCTGCTCATCCTTGGTTCCAGCGGCATGTTTCATTGAGAAGCTCAAAGTGAAGTGATCCGAAATAAGTCCCTGATGAACATTATCATCGACGGTTAATCCTCTGGCTCCATCAAACTCGATTCCTTGGTCTGCCAAAATGTGATTTTCAGCGGAACTGGTGAGGGCTTCCTCGTTGAGAAGCTTGACGGTGGCAGTGGAAAGACCGCAAGATTGGATGGTCTGATTGTCGTAGACAGTATCCCTGGCGCATCCTTGAGTGACGTGTCCAGCACGGAGCTCAATGATGGATTGAATACTCTTTGGTTCGCAGACAGATTTCTTCTCACAGAATTCAAGAGCGACATCTGGGAGCAGAAGCTTGGATCCGGTTCCAGCAGCATAGTTCACTCTCTCGTTCATTGCGGTGATTCCTTGGACACATTTCTCATCAACATGAACTGTGACGAGTGAACTCTTGCTCTTGCGCATGGCACAATCGATAGCAACCACGGTGAGGATGTATGACTTGGATTGAGTGAAGTTGAGTGGCTGAGTGGTACGGAGAACTCCTTGGTTGTTGATCGCAAATGGAAGTTCCTTAAGTCCGTTGGTGATCTCATACTCACAGATTTCACCGTTAGGATGTCCACAGTCCTTGTCAGATGCTTTGAGCACACCGACTTCATCAATGACTTTTCCCTCTTCCACATGGAATGTGTACCATGGATTCTCGATTTCCGGAGCGTGGTTGTTGGTGTCCTTAACACGGATCTTGAGTGAGACTCCCTCGGATTTCACATTGTCGTTGTCGCACTTGACTGCTTGAACTTGGAGATTGTATTCTGGCTTCTTGCAATCAAGAACAGCGGCATCCTGAAAATTAAGTGTTCCTCCTATGCAGATGAGTCAGCTGGTGACTCACCTTGACTCTAAGAACAGCAGCTCCGGTGTACTTATCAACGACTTGGATATCGAATGGAACGTTTTCATTGTTTTGCGAAGTGAGAATGTAGTTGCAGACTGGTCCTGAAATCCCCAAGAGTTGCAGTTATTGTTGTTTTCCGAACAAAAAAATTCCAATTGCTTTTTTCCCTCAATTCATGTTCCCTCGAATCATCATGTCTGTCATGTCATGTCACATTTAATCCCTCACTATTCCATTTCTTTTATTTTTCAATCCCTACATGTTCTACATCAACGTCTTCTGCTTCTTCTTATTCTTATTCCTCACCACCAACGTTGTTGGTGTGGCTCCTAATCCCGTGCGTATTTGGAGCCAAGCGACGACGATGAAAAAGAAGCGAAGAAGAGAAGAAAAGAAGAAGAAGAAAACGAAACAATTAATGAGAAGGGGGCAGGCATTTGCCTTTCCGATGAGATTTTTGTGCAAATGAGGTGAGGGAAGGATAGAAAATGTAAATGTCATGAATAGTAATGAGCATGATTATTTGAGAGAGAAAGGAAGTTGATGAATTCCTTCTAGAATTTTCTAGTCCTCCCACTAATTAGTTTCGTTATTTTTCTTTTGAAAAATCACGAGGTGGACTCAATCAAATTCAAATTATAGTCTCTCTTCTGATTGCTGTCACAGGACAATAATTTGTGTGTTGTGTTCTTAGATTCTAGAAGGAATAAATAAAGGTGAATCAGTCTATAATCTCCCAAGAAGACAATCTGCTGTTATCCCCCTCTACCAGGCTCACCGGTTTCCGAGAGAATCGCAAAATCTGGCACTGTCGAGATGATATTCTCGTCCTCGCGCACCACAGCAACCAGCTCTTCGGCTCCTTGTAGATTTATGATTGGAGCTGAAAGTAAGATATTTTTCGTGTAGATTGAAGATTAATCTATACCTCGAGCAGCATGATGATGTTTGGCGTATGAGACGCCTAGAAGGGCTCCAACGAAAAGAAGGTAAGCAGTTCGCATATGTGGAGTAAGAGAGCTTTGGTTGGAATATGCGTCTAGAATAATTAGGTTGAGGGAAGAAGACAATAGAAATGAGTCGAAAAAAAGAAGAAGAAGAAAAGATGTAAAAAAGTGCAAAATGAGAACAATGAAAAGTAGAAAATTAACTACAGTAGACTAAGGGGGAGTGAAAAGGAAATCAGAAGAAGAAGACAGACGAGGAATTTTCAAGAGAAATAAAACGAATTGTAGGTTTCTGACTGATATTGTTATTGAAAGATATAAAGTATAGAATTATCTTTGAATTCTATCAAAACACAAGGAACTACATTCATCACTCAATTCTCGTCTTCTTTCCATTCCTCAACCCCACGTCATTATTTCATCTCCTTCTTTCAAGAATCGTTTCCAGCTCCTCCTGGCTTTTCCGGTTTTTTTTCCAGACGGTGACAAACATTTTGAAATGAAATGGTGGATGGCACGAGACTAGAAGAGAAGAAGCACAGAATTTTTCAATTAGGTGTCAAGAAAAGGTTTGTTTTCGTTTGTGGCAGGCCTGCTAGAGCTCTTGCTTTTCTATGCTTAAACTAAAAATAAATGGCAATATTGGATTCAGAAGAAATCGAGGTGTATGATGCCTCAATCATCAGAAACAGACCAAGTTCTGGAGCAAGCAAATAGAAAGATATCTCCTATGTTTTAGCTGGGGGAGAGGAAAAGCTGAAAGGCACAGGAAATGAGAAAAAAAGAAACCTGACGTTGATAAATGAAAAGCGTTCATAGAAAAGATGAAGGAGCTCCGTATAAGGGAAAGAAGTAGGGGGCGAGAAGAAGAAGAAAAAGAAGAAAAAAGTGGGCTGAAAATGAGGCGCGATGCTGAAGAAGAGTGGCGCGAAGGAGAGAGTCGGCTCCTCCTACTCCCTCATACCATATAATCTCCACACATCCGATTATCAGAATGCGAGAAATGAGAGGAATAGCATAGGGAGCTTGTGAGAGTTGCAGAGAAACGAGATGGTTGTCATGGTTGCGGGCTCGACTAGCAGAAAAAAACTCACAAGGCTGCGAAGAAGTAGGGGAAAAATCGGAGAAGATTCTTCTAGAAAAGGGAAGAAGAAAAAAGAAGAAGGCAGAAGTTCTTCTTCTTCTTCTTCTTCTTTTTCTTCTTTCAAGCATGTCGACTTGAATTGGAAATTAGGTAGCGGAGGTCTTCTAGGTCCGAACATGCAAAAATCGAGGATTCAAGAACAAGGGAAAGAAGGAGAAGAAGGTTGAAAAGAAGCAAAGCTAGCGCATGTGTCAATAGAGGTGGAGCATTCGGAAGAAGAGGCGAGCGGAAGGAAGAAGAAGACGACGGCAAGGAGAAGGAATAGAACAAAAAGTCAAAAGGCTGAATGATGATTCAAAGGAGCAGGTAAATTGACTTGATGTCTACTTCAGGTGGATTCCATATTTAGAACTGCAGCTGCCTACTACGTAACATGTTTTGATGTTTTTTCTGTAAATGCCACTGCATTACTTCCATCCAATTGATTCCAAAAACGAGGAAACAGTTCCTGGATGTCTGGTGGACGCAAAACAGTAGACACTCGATATGGCTATGTTGTTCTAGGCCCAACAACGACAGACGACAATAAATATTATTACTCATTCATAATTTATCAGCTCTCCTCTAAAACGGCCAAAACAGGCAGAGAACACGATTAGAGTTACCTGGTGTCATGTGAGAGAATAAATAGGAAGATGGAAGAGGTTTTCAAGAATCGGTCAGAGGAAGAATGAATCAGAGTTTGGAGAAAATAGAGGAAAATAAGGGGCTCAAAATGAGGGGAGAGTGGGCTAACTTAGAAAACGAAGGAAGTCATAAACTTGTCCGTTTTGCGGGCAAACCGAGAGAGGGAGGGAGCGGTGCCCTCGTTAATTTTAACGACTGGGGTGCTTTTTCGTAATTCGATTATCGGATTATGAGTTTTTGTGGGCGCATATAGCAGCATTAATAGCCAACGGGACTATGGGGGAACGTGCGAAGTGTCAGCAACAGATATCACAATGATCCAACTGGTTTTTTTTTTGAAAAAAGACATGCAATTCGTCGAAGAATCTCGAGTGATGGAGGTAGATGACGTTTCTGGAAATTTAGAGATTTGAGTTGGCTCGAGGGATGAAAAAGAAAAAAAAAAACGAAAAGAAAATCCTCGCGAGATCGGATTACGAGATATTGTCATGGAGACACATAATAGGGGGAAAATGAGGAGGAGGAAGCAAAGGTGGGACAGATTCTAGAAAATATGAATTTTGAGTTGATTGAAAAGTGTAGAAAGAGTACAAAATGGTTACTCACATGCCTCCAAATGGGTGGGGAAGAGAGAATCGAAGAAGAAGAAGACGCGTGATAATAAGGTTAGTCTGGTGGTGAGGGGGAGAAAGCACCAAATGTCGCTTTATTTGAGCGCATTCAGATGACTGAACAGTGTGTCAGTATTCGAGATATAGTGACAGATGAAATGAGTATTTTCGCGCATTTTTGAATCCAGGGATTAGGTTATTATCCGGATATTGAGATTTCATTTTGAGAAAACAAAATCACAAGAGCCCTTGAGAATTTTCTCGAGAAATCGAGTTTGGCTGTTCCGATTTTCAGACAAGTGGGCATATTCTGAAAAGGAATTAGCTGTCTATCATTGAGTTAAGTATTTTTGACGTAAAAACGGGGATTATGTCAGCTGTGATTGTGGTCAAGAGTCACCTAGGCCCCGCCCATTTTCAGAAGACGGTCTCTTTCCAATTATAGTGTCTACAAATTCGGTAATCTAGAAAAAGAAAAAGAAATGTACGAAATACAAAAATATGATGAAACCCAGCACATTTTTATAGTGATACTATAGTTGATACAATTTGAAATCATAGTCGAATCTGTTTTTTTAGATCCTTTCTATGATTCCAGCTAAGTCGTGGAATTACGTCAGTATTCAATCTTCTGTCCCAAGGTGACGATGGTTGGTGGAGTCAGAGAGGTTCTGTTTGTGTGCAAGATAGAAAACGGGAATAACGTCTTCCTTAATCGCTTGTGTGAGAAACACAAATTATCGCCTTGAGGCGACAAAATTAGAGGCTTTCTCTCTCCCATCGTCTCTCCTGATGTTGACACACGACAACGTGTATGTGCCTGTGCTTGGCTTCTTCTCCATATTCCATCGTCCTTCAACGATCGACAGAACAAAAAAAGAAGAAAAATAAGATGAAGGTTGAATTCTGTCTTCTGGCATGCCACAATAATTGGTAGCACGAGACGCTCGAAGAACAAAAAATGTGAGGAAAACGGAATGATGAAAGAAGAATGAGCATGGAAAAGGTGAAAAGAGAGTTGTTTGACGTCAAGAAACAATCGCTAGATGTGGACTTTCTGAAATGCGCGATGTCTGATCACAAAAGGGAATCAAGAATTGTGTCATTAAGATTATCTGAATATCAATGGAACTGATGAGTGCTAGTGTACTTGGAACATCAAGCTGGGGGATGAATTTTTAAAGTTTTTCAAAAAAGGTTAGAGGTTGGTCAGACTCTCAAACCTTTTCCAGCTTGTGACTAAAATTACAAGCCGACAGCTGAGGCAGTACCGGACATATCTATCATATTTTGATAACGTACCTGTAATAGGAGTGCCGTCACACTGTCAAGTTTTGAGCTCAATTATCTCAGCTCCTATGATATCTATCAAAAAAGTGCCAACCGAAAAAATGTTGCAATGTTATGATAAATAATGTTTATTTGTTGACAACTTTTTCATATTGAACGCCTTCTTAAGATGAATAGAACTTAAAAATTTTTCTACAAAACAGTTTTTTCTGTTCCAAGGTATCACTCAAAAATCAGACGGCCTGACAATAAATGGAAAAACAGAAAACAGTTAATAGAAGGGCCCCCAAACCGTCAAGTTCGAGCTCTATTATCTCAATTCCTATGCAATATACCAAAAATTTGTCAACTGACAACAAACTTCCGATATTACGATAAACAATTTATTACTTGACAACCTTTTCATTTCTTAAAGTTAGGGGCCCTTCTATTACAGGTGCTTACCGTGTTTTAAATGTACCAAAAGTCCTTAACTGACCAATTAGAAACAACTTGTTAAATGAAATGACTAGATATCTAAAACAGAAAAAATGATAAACATTTCTTCACAGAAGATAAACAATCGCATATGACCATATTAACCGGCGGGTTCTGCAAGAAATCACACCGAACAATGATCCGCATTTTCTAAAGATAACATTGGATACGGTATCCTTCTGTTTCCCGTGTTATCTCAAAATCGATTTCCCTTTCCCTTATACTGTTTCTCGCGAACGAATGCCTGTCCTTCTGCCTATGCGATATTATTAAGCAACTATCAAAAAATGTTCTCTCCCTCACTCCCACTCTCTCCTTGCCTTCCATCACTTTTCACTCCTTCTTCTTTTTCTTCTTCTGTCATTTTTTTGTCGCTTTTCCGTATTCTTCCCCTTCTATCTCCAGCTACCAAGCACCGCTCCACACTATCTGTCTCCACTCTCTTCACTATTTGCTCTATCTATCGATTATTTTTTCTGTCACGGGTCACTCTCTGATCGTCATACTTCTTCTTCTCCAACTGCGTCTATGTCAACACTGTTTTTCGAATAGGCGCAGCGACCCGCGAAACAACGGAAATTCGAATACTGTTACACCCCTCTCGCTCTTTACCGTTTTTGCAGAAAACCACATTTCCTTATCGCTATTAAACTAATTTTCGGTTGCTTCTAAACTCCAACATGGTACCGAAAAAGTCTTCGAAAACTTCTGCCCCAGTCGTTGCTCCAAATTCTGCTCCAGTCGCCGAGCAACCAGCTGAAGCTCCGGCGCCGGCAGCGGTGAGAGCCAAAAGAGTGAGCGAATTCATCGATTTCTATCTTTATGCTCACTTATGTTTTCAGCGTAGTGAAGCCGATCTTCTCGATCTTAACAATCCAAAGTTCGAGCTTCCATTTGTCACCGACAAGAGAGCCGCAGCTACGGGTCCAAAGAACTACGACATGGGCAAAGTGGCTCCAGCTAAAACTAAGAAGAAGGCTCAGAAGACTGACTCAAAGATCCCAAAACAGGCGCCGAAGAAATCTGCGAAGAAGGCTAAGAAGGCAAAGAAATAAATAACTTATAATTTATCCAATTTTGTTTAACTGGAGATGAAAAGTAGAAAGTCGGAAAATAAAAACATTATCAGAAAATTGTGTCAAATGATATAAAGTGAAAAATTGAGAATAGATTTCTGTGATCTTGGGAAAAGAGTATAGGAAGGAAAAATAAACTTTCAGATATGTTCAATAAACAAATTACAAATTACAGATAGTTGGAGTATAGAATAGTGACTGAATAGGAAACTGTGAGTAGTCAGACGATATGATGGAGGAGCAATAAAACTCCAGAATATGGAGTTACCGTAAAACAGATAAATCGAAAGCCTACTGAAATCGAAGGTCCATCTAATTGAAGGGAAACTTTTCTAGATTACTATGGTACTAGAACGGGTCTTTGAAATCTAATATTTGACATCTCTAGGAAATTGGATAGTTCATGGAGTAAAGTCATTGACAAAAATAGGAAATATGCGCAATCCATCAGTGGAAGTGTATCTGAACTGGAATTCAGAAGCAAGGAATCATATTCCTGTTGAACTTATCAATCAAAACACCTATTCACCAAGGGGCCCTTCTAGAAACCACACGAAAAATAGGGGAAAATGCATTGAAAATCATAGCTAGAATGAATGCTGTACAGACATATTAAGCTAGAAAGAGTAAATATTTTCTTAGAAAAAGATTTTCCAGTTCTCATAAATAAAAGATTTCCGAGAACTTTCGAGAACTTCGCGCCCACAAGACACTTGATTTCATTCAAAGAAATTATAATTCAGAGAAGAAGCATGGGTCAAACTTCAAGAGCAGGTTTCATCCGGTTCGAATCATGAAATATTCAAAAAACTAATCTCCTCTGAAAAATAAAATCCGTCTCGAATTTCCGTTTCGACTCACATGAGAGCACACCTGTTGGGGAAAAAATGTGAATAGGAGAGAGGGGAAATATGGTGTTCTCTATTCAATCGAGAATATTGTTGAAAAGGAGAAATGACACCAACGAGTGACTCATAGGAGACCGGATATGCTTACTCTCAAACTGACGATCGATAAAAAGTGTGAAGAATGGGGGGGAGTCTTGGGGCGGGAGGGCGTCAAAAGACTTGACTCCTTTTTTCTTCTTTTTCGTGTCAAAGAAATGCGACATGGACAAAAAAGGGGGAGCAAGAAAAGAGCAAAACGTCAGATAGAGACATAGGAATGACGAATAAGTGTGAATTGAGTTAGTAGTAGAAGAAGGAATCCTCAAATTCTGTTGTTTTTTCTCGTTCCCCTTAGCAATAGATATGTAATAGTTGTCTTTTCTCGGAAGAAGAGCTCTTTCAGGATCCGTTTTCCATGGAACACATACATATTCTAGTTGTAACTTGACGCCCAATGCTATTGGGAGCCAGTCGCCACGTCAGCATTCGGAAAGAAAAAGGAAAAAGAAGGGAGAAGAAGAAGAAAGTGGAAAATGAGATGTTATTTTGACGTCGTCCGTCGATTGCCGAGGCGTTTAATTAACGCTCTCGACCCTTCGGAGAAAAAAGGAAAAAGACGAAGATATCTGAAAAAGAAAATAGAAGAGCAGAAGCCGAGGAGGTAAGTTGGAAAAGAAAAAAAAGAAAAAGAGGGGTGTTCTCCCTCGGAAGTAATGTCGTTTTTTTGTCTGGATAATTGCCACAAACCATCCACGAATGGCCAGAAGATGAAGAGGAAAAAAGAAGGGAGAATTGATAGTGGAAGAATTATTGAGCGTTTTTAAGTCACATTGAAAAACGAGAAAGGCCGGGTTCAGTTCTTTGATGAATAGAAAAATTGAGAATATTAAAAGAGATCAATTTCGAGAGTGGGCGGAAGCAAAAGGAAGCAACAAAGAGAGATGTGCTAGTAATAATAACTTATCAAATATTTCAATATGATCAGTGAACACATGAATTCTAAATTATATCGTTATAAGGATTCTATAGTGGAAGCTTTAAGAAGTCGCTATATTTTTTGTTCCTTGAGATTTGAAAATGAAGATATTATGAATTGATCTGGTCTAATTTCAAATTTGAGTTCCACCGAAAACGAGGATGAGCGGAGTTTAGGTAGCAAAATCCTTAAAGGAGTATGTATCATTCTGAATGGTTTTCTGGTCTGTCTTTTCGATTTTTCAATAATTTTCATTGTTTTCGTGCTTTTTTTTTTATTTTTGTTTGAAAAAAAGTTCAAAATCGATGGAATTATCGAAAAATCAAAGAAACATGGCATAGGTCTTATGCGATTATTGTAAAAATTCACAAAATCGAAATAAAAAGTCAGCAAATTGCCGAAAATTTGAGTGTCGGCGGAGCTTAGGTCCGGCAGCGAAATCCTCGAATGAGCATATATTTTTCGATGAATTCCATCGATTTTAAACTTTTTTCAACAAAAATTAAACTAAAAATCACCTAAAACAATGAAAATTATCGAAAAATCAAAACATAATATTATGCTTGTCTGAGAAAAAAAAGGTTAGAGAGTATTTTTTGCAGTCTGAATACGGTATCGATATCGAAGCGGAGAGCCTAAATAACACACAAACGGTGGAGGCGCAGACTTTTTCTGTGCGTCTCAACCTTTTTTTCTCAGACAAGCATAATAGACGAGGAAAAATTTCAAAAAATACATGCTTCAAAATCTCGGACCTAAGCTCCACCCACGCTCGAATTTGCGGTCGTAAAGTGTATTGGCCTAGACCAAAGTGTTAAATTATCAAAGATTCGATCAGTGAACACAAAACTTCTGGATGACACCGCTATAAGGATTTTATAATCAAAGTTTCAAGAAGTCGTTATACTTTTCGGGACGATCTCGGGGACGTGACAACAAATTATTATGCGATCTTCTTTCTAGACAAGATGACGTGGAGGTATTCGAAGAAAAGTGAAGAGAAACTTGAAAAGAAGTTGAAAATAAGATACCGAAATTGAAACTGGTTTTGGTTTTTTTTTGTTTGGACACAATTTTAATCGAATTTGTTTGAAATTTCCAAACAACCCACTTTAGTAAAAAAAGAAAAGGTGATAAAAATCGAGATGGTGTTCTTTCCTTAGTTTTACTAATACATCCATCAATAATACGAGTCTTTCGGTTTTTTGGTTTTGTTCTCCATGTTCTTCGCCAAAGAGCCTTGTGTCAAGTATTTCATCCATCATAACGCATATCATGTGTATGTTTTTTTTCGAAAAAAAACGGACTGAACAAGTCAATTGAGTAGACGACAACGACCAAAAATGGCAAAAACAAAACGAAAAAATAATGGGTATGAGTGTGAAGATGATAGTTGGAAAATGGATGTAAATCTTCTTCTTCTCAGAAGTGTTCTCGAAGGAATCGAAATGGATCACCTAAAAAGAAGGAAATCGGAAAAAAAAGGGAGAACTTTAAAAGATGGAAAGCAATGTAATCTCGAAAATTAGAATCGAGAAAAGCAGCGTTGAACTTTTGTGCAAGTTTTCTTTTTCATTATGTTGACATCGTCACACCGAATCCCTGGGGTATACAGGAAGAATGGGATGGATTGGCGGTGTAAACGGAACTCACTCGAATAAAAAACACACCTGCGTCCGACAGAGTGTCTGGGTACTAAAATCTAGAAAACGTCAGAAGAAGAGACTTTGTGACCGTGAGAGTTTTCACTATAGTCTCTGATTGAATGGGGGAATGAAAATGAGTTTTGGAGTTGGTGGGAAAAATATTGAGATTTGATTTTTAGGTGGAAGAGAAGTAAGGAATTTGGAAAGGGGACTTTCTAATCATGAATATTAAGTGTGACCAGACATTATCACGGTAAATATGACGGAAGATATAATACCAATGAATTCCGTCAGAAGTTCGAGAAGTCTGATAAACAAGTCTAGACAGATATTGTTGTCGAAGAAGGTCAAAACTTTATGTCAAGAGTGAATAAAAATAAGGAGCACATACCGCAAAACTTGGATTAGAAAAGCAGGCCGTTATATTGTTCCAATGTATTTTTGGAGAGACCATCTATTACAGGGGCCCTTCATTTAAAGTGGTATAGTTTTCCAGCCATTAAAAGGGGGTCATTTTCCAGTCATTTTTTTAAACAAAAATTTTCGTTACGAAAATTCAGTCAACTTTCGATTAAAATTCATAAAAATCAGTCAATTTCACTGAAAATCAGCAATTTTTATAGCAAAAAAAAGTGCTTCAACGAATTTCTGTAAAATTGTGGAATTTCAATAATAACACATTTTGGAGGGGGGACGTTTTATTACAGAGGCCCACCTTTTTTTTCAAGCCCACCACGGAGGGTTCTTCTATTAGAGTGTCCTTCTAATACAGGTTTTACGGTAATATTATTCTGGTACAAAAAATCGGAATTATGTAAGAGAAATATCGGCGGTCGAGGCAGAAGGTCCCACAATGACAATTACAGTAATCTAAAAATATGTTCATTTTTCGCATTTATTTTCTCGATTTTCGTCCGTTATCCTGCAATTTTTCAGATTTAGAAAATTTTTGTTTTCCTACTTTTTCGGAGGTTTCAATAATTGTCTAAAGGAAATAGTAAACGAGAAAAAAATATCGAAACTTTTAGGTTACGGTAGTTTTCGTTACGGGAACTACGACCACAAGCTTTTCTCATCCAAAGCTCCGATTTGTTGAACCAGAATGAAAATATTTTCGAGAGGGGAAACTACCAAAAGCATTTTTGACACCAATAATTGTTAGCAACTAACAAAAAAAAAGAGAAAAATGTGCAAAAAAAGTGTGTGGGTTTTGGTAGACGAATTCTCTCTCACATTCGCCCTCTCTTTCACTTTTTATCGGAATCGCGAATCTCAACGACAAAAACGCGTTGAAGCTCTTTCTTTTTTTTCTCTCTGTCGTTTTTCCTCAACGACTACATTTATTTTGTGTGTGTTGCTTTTTATGCGCCTATAGTCCTTTGGGGAAGTTTTCGGAAAGGAAAGAAAGTAGGCAAAGAGACCGGCACAGAATATTCGTCGAGCTGGAACAAAACGGACCAGCAGAGCCAA